CTCAGGGTGGCATAAGTTGAAAATGCTGGATTTACCAGCAAGTTGTGGGATCATAATGGGAATATATATATATATATATATATTCAGATTGATATGATGGTTGGGTTTGGTACCTGAAAATGGTGGATTTGTGGCCTTTTAAATGGCAATTTATATAATGGGGAAAAAGATGATAAACCATGATAAACCATCACATTTGGTGCAAAGTGGCTCATTTTTGGTCATGAAGCATTCAGTCTAACGGAGAAATGTCAGGGATAGTCCGGGAGATCCAAAAGGAAATGAAGTATGGTTTGAAACCACTAATATCCTCTCAGAAATCTAAGGTAGCTATTGAAATATTGAAATTGTCCCTTTTACAAAAAAATAGCTATTTAAAGTGGTGATTTTCAATAATTTGCTATGTTAAACGGCTATGTTGAAATACCAGAAAATATCAAGTAACTGTCTCTAGGATGACAAGAGACGATTGCTCCATGTGTTTGGTGCAAACACAGAAAAAACAACATTGGATACGTGGGGGTAATCCGTCATCGACAGTTTACAGTGGGTGTCCAATAATCCACTGTTTATAATCACTGGTGTAATCAACTTAGTAAATCGTCATCGACTGTCTATTGTGATCGACTGTTTATAATCTTGATAAACCCCAAAGATGAAACTTGGAATGATCCTGCCGCATCAGCACAGACTCTTTCAATCGCAACGATTTTCCGGCATTTCATCAACCCTCTGCGTACAGGTTCTTGGGATTCATGATCTCCTTAGTTAGGCGGCTCTGACGTACAACTTGCAACACAAGCCCAGAAAGAGGAACCTGATCTGTCTACCATTTTTTTTTATATATACATATAAATTTAATAGCTTCAAGTGAGTATCTATGCAAATGCGTGCAAACATGTGTATCTAGATATCTTATGACACCTTCATGCGGGGTTCAAATGTCATCAGCATCAAAAATCCCGGGTAAACCTTGGAAAAACATGGAAAACCCCAAAATCCAATGGATCATCATCGATTTCCAAATGAATGGATTTGAATAGTCATTGCAATAATGATAATAATGATTTCAGAAACAACTCCCCAATTATTGGACCTTCCAATGCGAGAAAAAAAATCACATGGACCTGTCCTTAATACCCGAGAACCTACCCCAAAAACCTAATCTGGGCAAACTATGATATTGTGAAAGGTGGGCCCCCGAGACATAAGCTCATTTATAAACCAACCCCATGAATCATTTATATATATATTATCATATATCTGCCAGTTGTATTGACGCGTAAACCAACTTATAGTAGCTTTTGCTATGGGGCCCACCCTGAGGTGATTCTGCCAATCCTCACCATCATCTATGTGTCCAGGAAAGACGCTTTCATGTTCCAGATCCCTTTGGCTGCAGACTCTCATGTTCCGATGTGTCTTGCCTGAATGCCTTGCGGGCATTTTTCATTGTACCCTCTGGTTATTTAACATATCCATGTTATAGATGGCCCTAATCGAAATAGATAAAGTTTACCTAGCTATAAAATGGGTGGATTTTCCATGGCAAACTGTTAGTTAGTCATAACCAGGTTGGGTACATTTTTTTCTAAACCATACACAACTCACCGAGTAAAACCATCCGCCAACGGGATTGAATCCCCATGGTTTCCCACGGTCCTGGATGATCTCAGGATGTTGTCGGATCAGTTGGACCAGACCAACCTTGGTCGCCAAGTTAGGAATTTTAGTGGACTTCAGATATGTTGAAATAATTCTATAACATTCAGTTATACCGCAACATTAATAAGTTTCTATAACATTTAGTTGCTTAGTCTCTATCAGTATATTAGTTCTATTAGCATCAATCTCCGGTGAAAACGAGTATCAAGAAAGAACGTAGATACTGTCCGACTGTCCAGCTGCACCAGCTTGAGGGATGATAATCTCCATATGTTCACATGGGGAATTGATTTATGTGCCCATATTATGAAGTTTAAAAATTCCCATGGCATCGGATGGATGACCATTTACCACTCAAAATAGCTATTGAAAATGTACCTATTAAAGATGGTTTTTTTCCATATGTTAGTTTACCGGAGGGTAAATCCCATTAAATCTCATTAAGTCCCCATTAAATCACCATTCAAACCTGGCGAAGAATGATTCACTCGCCTGAAATCTGGCGTTTTGGGATAGGCCTGATCCTAACCATCCTTTCCAGTGACGCAGTGAGGTCATTGTAATCTCAGGTAAAACTGAATAAAACCTGAATTATTGGTTCTATCATATATTTATAATCCAATCATGTATCTATCATCTATCATGTTTATTGCAATAGAACATTATTATATTGTTGGCAATAGAAACCAATCATGTTCCAAAAACTATCAAGAAGTGCCGTTGATTCTATAGAACCTTATCTTGTTGGCAATATCTCTATACAGTTTTCCCTTGTGTTTCATGTTGAATTTCCTATTCAATATTACCATATCGTCCATGAAATGAATTCCCTATAAAGTCACCATTTCTCATGATTATATCCCATGCTATGGTTTCGTATATATATATATGACATGTGTACTCATGTGTATTATATATATATATATACATATCATATATATATATATACACAATTATATTGCATATGACCTATCTCCACCATTTCCTCGGCATCTTCTCGGCCTCCCCACGGTGATAAAGGCCTTGAAGAGCGGATTCGCCCACGGGGCTTCGAGGCACTTCACCCAGAACCACATTAGGAGCCCAGAAGCCTCGGTCGCTACACTTGTTATGGGAATATCATGGGAATATAGAATATATAATTATAAATTAGTTATATATATATATATACAGTTGTATAAATGTAATTATAATATACATATAGTGCGTACATATATCTATAATATATATATATATATATGTATTGTGTACCGCCCATTCGCTGTAACAGTGGGCACCAGAAGGGCACCAGAAAAAGACCCACAAACGGACGAGCAAACCACAGAAAAAGCACGAGATATGCGGGATTTGTGGGTTGCTAAGTGTCGTATTTTTTTCCAATCACCCAAGTACCTACTTGTGCTTAGTAGGGAATGAAGAAGGATCCACAATAACTATCAATAATCATCCCATTCCCCCATTCCCATCCATTCCCTACTAAGCACCAGTAAGACTAAAATGAGGATAGTTCATCTCCAAACGAAACCATGGTACATGTAAGGGATGAAACTTAGCCACTTACACCTTTTGGGACCATAGAATGGGGATCTAAGCAATATGACACGGGGATGGTATTATACTTACAATTGCTGAGAATGAGGTGATTCATGGGTTCTAATTATTGGTTATTGATTGGGTCACTGGTGGCTTGTTGATTACAATGCTCCGAAAATTGGGTGGTTCTCTGTGAATTTGTTTTCAACCAAGCAACAGAAGGTATCGAACAAAAAAGGTCAGAAGGATAAGGTGATATTGAAACCCTTCATGGTGATGTGGGACACTTACCGGCCCCTTCTGCCTCGCCGAAGGAAGAGCTGCCACGAACACACTGCCTATATTTTTGAGTCACTGGATTGTAGAATGTCCTACAGTAGCGTCATGCGGGGACCAACCAAACTCTCTTTTCGACTCAATACCTCTATCTTTATCGCGGAAATTGTACAGGAAGTCATAAGAAGCCATGGCCCACTGCACATCAGAGAGTCCTTTCTAATGACAGAGTTTTGCTTAATTAAATATGATTAGATATTATTAGGATTTATTAGGTATGTCTTTGCAAGGCTTCCTGAATCACCCGGTTCAGAATGCACTTTCATTTTCGCCCGCTTCTTCATGTAACTTACTCGAACATGCCCCCGCGGGCCCTACAGGTATCCCTAAGTTGTGTGTGAGTGCATGTTTATGATGATATCCAACTTTTGTAAATCTTTCGGGGCAAAAAAGAAGTCCCCCGAGAGAATTCAACCACTTTTGTGGATAGAAACTTAGTAATATGAAGGGTCATCGCAAAAAAAACTCCTTACAAGCACCCATCAACCATCAGTTGGGATGGTCATGGCACCGGTGCACCCTGGGACCCTGACCCTCTGACCCATCCCTGCATTCGGTCCAGGTTGCTCCTCCACTTGCGAGGCTGGGAGCATCCAAGATCAAACCCAACAGAATGCTGCAACTAAATGCGCCTGGCCGTCAGTTTTTTGCCTCTGCCTCTGATGTTACCAGGTCTGTCAGGGGCCAATTATATAATTATCAAAGCCATAAATCAGAACACATCACTTGCAAATACCTGGCCAAAAGATATATCAACGGCATTCAAAGGCATTATATATCATTCTATAGTTATAGTTTTACAATCCTCTAGCCCCCTAGCCAATCATCCCACGATCCCCAGACATCCCAGACATGGCATGGTGCCAGCGAACCAACCAACAGTTTTTGATTCCTGGAACCAAAAAAAACACCAGACATATGGGTGTTTATGGGTCTGGTAGGTTCTTATGGGTGTTTACAGGGGAAACAACATGAAACAACCCCTCTGAAAAATATGAAAGTCAGTTGGGATTATTATTCCAACCAGGGTTGTTTCATGTTGTTTCCCCCAAAAAAATAGTGAACAAAAACCTTACACAACGGCTGGAACTGGCAAAGGGGCCATGGCTATATTTGGTTGTTTGGGGCCAAAGGTTAAAAATACATTTGAACAAGCAGCACCGAACCACCAATGTCCACCTGAATGGAAAGAATAAATCTTTAAGTTGCGCAGCCGCCAACGAGCAGATGCTTCTGGCAAAACCACTCGATCAAGAAGAATTGAAGCGAAGTGGAAAAGGCAAAAGCAGCATTAGGCAGCACCAAAAACAGCTATCCCCAAACTGGAGCAGATGGAAAGGGCTCGGTGCTTTTTCTTCCTAAAAAACCTAGAATTTATCGGGGAACACAATGGGACACATAATTTTTAACATCCTGGAAATACGTTTTCATCTTTCGGGGATCCCCACAAATGAATTTCAAATGGC